AACAAGTCTTCTATCACAGCAAGTTGTCCATATACAACAAGAACTAATCCGACAGGTCAGTTGTACATTCTTTGACTTCTGCAAGGCACATATATGCGTTTAGACGAAGGATTGTGTGAGAATAGGAGTTAAGGTGAGAAGCATAAGAAGAGATCTGGACCCTTGATAACTTTTAATCTCACCCCCACCCCACCCCACCCCACCCCACCCCACCCCATGAGTTGCGGTTATCACAAGAATTGATCCGGTGCATCTCGGTGCACCGCATTAGTGTTGACCTTCAATTAGGATTGATCCAAGGGTGGAGATCCCTTCTTACCCTTCTCACCATAGCTTCCATTCTCACCGGAACCCAACCCTATGCTTTTATACAATTATTCTACTATGTTGTTGGAGAGTTTGCAGTTTAACTTTATGCATATTTATCATTATCATATTCTTTTTCAATTAGAGTGGGACGTCTTATACACAACTCAAGTGACCCAAAAGGCCAAGAAGTTCCATGATGGCGTCTTAAAACTTGCAAGTTGTGGATCACAAGGGAGGCAGGTTAATTTTTTTTCATTTTTATTGCACATACATTTTTCTATCTCTGTTTCTGGTGTGGTGATTGGTCAGACTTGTCAGCTAGCCTAAGGTTACTATGGATATGAAGGAACACTCATTATAGTCTTCATCTATAATTGTAGCGTGATCTGGTAGATCTGCTTTAAAATTTTATCTTATCAATCGCTTGTTCAGTATGGACTTTAACGTGTTTAAAGAAGAACGAGGACTGCATGAGGAATCATGCTAGTCTTCCAAATAGTTTCATACAAAAAGGTTAACCGAGTTGAAAGTCTCATAACTTTGTGTGACTATTTGTTTGGAAGGACATTGAGAGTTGAGGCACATCCACGAAGGTCATGTGCATGGACACTTTGTATATGTACATAAGGTAGATGGTAGACCAAGATAAGGATAGAGTGAGAGGATACAAACAGAAGTTCAGAAATGACGAGAAAAACCAAACACGGAACAAAAAGAATAAAGTGGAAAGGATACATAAATAGAAAACAACGGGCATAGGGGGACAAAGCAGAAACAAGCAGAGAAGATACAACGCTGAAACAAGCAAAGGATATGGGTGTTAAGTATAAAGAAAATAGAGAGGAAAAGAACTAGAATAAAAACATCAAAACCCAAATTATTGGAGACCTGGGACGCAAATATTTTTATGTTTTCAAAAACTATATGTAAGATGTCCAAGTATTTGAAGTGTTTTTTCTTCCCCCATTGGATCTGTAATTACCGGAGGCCGTAAAAACAAATTATAAAATGATAAAAAGATGAGCCAAAACTTTGATAAACAAGTCAAACCATATCTCACCGAAGTCTAAGAGTCCTATCTCGTTTATGAACCCGATACCACTTGGCAAGTATGGATTGACTCAAATTTAGCAATTAAGAAAGTGAAGTTCTTCCATTCAATTTGCTTAGAAGATACAAACAAAAAATTATGGAAGTTATTTGTTGCAATAATACCAAAGTATATAAGGTCCTAATCATCCTAACTTCTATAATATGCAAAGGTACAAAGGCCCATCCTTTTGAGCTCTCCGCTATCGACATATAATTAAAGTCAATGAAAGAGCTACCAATTGAAACCTTTGAGGAATTTTTTTTCATCTGCTGATGGTTTGTATATGGAACATTGTCAAAGAAGGCCAAGACTAAATTACTATACAATCCCAAGCATTCTCTCTTCCGGCAGCATTGCCTTGCATTGCAGAATCATCAACATTCAGTTTCAACAAACAGAAAAGAGAAGACTACCTACTAGTGTTACCTTTTTGCCAGTTAAACTTCATATTAGAGTGATGTTTGCACTAAACATTTTGTCTATCATTTCTTTTGATGGGCCATCTTTACATTATAGGAGGCTACTTTGTTAGCAGAAGATGGAACAATTTTGTCCCACAGATACCTTAAACTATGTGAAGACATCAGCAGTGGAAGTTTATTCAACATGCCAAATTACTTGGTGGAAGTTGGTGAACCAAGGAAACATTCCGAAGGTAGGTTCTGTAGTTCCTATTGTCATAATTCTATGAAAGTGCTTGAAACTATGGATAAAGTTCTGCTTTCTGTTACTTGCTTGAATGTGTAGGGGAATGTCCAGAGAGAGCTTCTACATTGGAAAATGAAACCCCAAAGATTAGGAGCTTTGACGTGGATAATATCAAGTTATGCAAGAGAATCCCAGCCACCAGACCTCTATCTGATGGTAAGACTACAAGCATGATGTCATAACAAACATATAGGTCTACAACTTATGTTGTGAAGTATGAATTAATATCTCATTTTTTTTTGGTTCTAGTATCATCAAGTTGTGATAATTTAATGTGAATGGATTGTTTAATACATGTATATTGCTTCAAGGAAATGAAGTTTTTTCATATCTAACTTGTTCTCTTGATGTATCATGCAGTTATGAAGTTCCCCTTTCTAAATCTATGGCTTTGTATTTGTAGGCGGCCTTTTAAAAAGAGCTTCATCATTGCAAGAAACTGAATCGAAGGCTACAAATCCTGTTGCAGATAAAGTTATATCGACTACTATTAGCAAAAACAAGCCTCTACGTGATGGTAGGTAATGCAAGTTGCCATTTGGATTTGGTCTGACTATGGTGTATAAAAGAACTTATACACCGCTATTATCTATTTTCTATAACCATTGTATGCTAACGAATCTTAGCAGCCCTTCCTACATAAAGCGAAGGGGGATGTTTGAGTGGAGAGCTTTTTCCATCTGAACCTCAGGCTGGCTTGGTTAATGAAAATTTGATTGGACAGTGCTCTGTGTAATGTTCCAATACTCCATTATTATCTGAAGTAGCACCCTCTGAACATCAGATTACTGGTTAAAAGTAGTTAGCCAAACAAATTTATTGCTTTTCTTATTATTGGTTTTATTAATTTGGCTAAGGGAGAGAGATAAGATTCAAACCGTTGCCTGTGTCACCTGTGTACCCTATTTTCAATGACCAGTCTCATCTTCTACTAGAATGCTGTCGATCCTTATGTTAACTTTTTATTTAGATTTGCATGTATTTACCTAGCATGCTCATTGGAACTTGAGAGATGTAGTTGTTGTCTATTATTCAAGAAACTTCACCTCAAAATTTTGTCGAAATCTTAATTGCTGTCTTTTTCGCAGCCCATTCAATTTTGTCCATTCTAAAAAAACCGGGTGCTCAAGAAGTTGCTATAGGAAAATTACATCTACAGGAGCTCCATCCTTCACTGGATTCAGCATTTGTTCAGTCGGGCATCCAGTGTCAAGTAGAGGGGCAGCAAGATTCCTGTAGTAGGACATCTAAAATGGAGGTCTGTGATGAGGAAACTAGAAACATACGTGACTACAGTGGACCAATCTCAAACTGCAATGCAGTTTATACCAATATCTCAATAGAGACTAGAATATCAGCAGATTGCGAAATCATGGTTGATAAGCAACAAAAAGATACTGGATACGGCTTCTCTTCCGGGTATGTCTTCTTCATGATGAAAATTGTAATTGGAAGCGGTCATCTACAGTATGAATGCATCCTGTTCCTACAACTCCCCAATAGAAGTATGATCTCTTGGTGATGCATCAATCCTAATATTGTTCTTCTTAAAAAACAAATACATAAAGTTTCCTTGAGATATAAAAATGTTTAGGTCATGCTTCTGTTATACATTGAACTGATCAGCCTGTGTCATAACATTCCAGATTAGAGACATCAGACATCACAAGATCTGTAACTGACATGGAGTTCTCTACCATAAACAATAGGACTTCCCCCACAGAGGAGCCACACGCAATGGAGGATTTAAGTGTGTATCATAACGATCTATCATCAACAGTGTCAGAAACATGCTGTGAATCAACTGGAGCTGCTGATGTTGGAGGACACCCTGAAGTGATGTTTTCGAAAGGTAGTTATATTTTCATCACCTGTATACGAGCGATCTTATTTGTTACTCCCTCCGTCCAAAAATATAAGTCCACAATGAAAAAGGCACACAGTTTTAAAATGTGTAATTATTACACAGTTTTAGAAATGTGTAATTCTTACACATTTTAATTAACTACATGACAATTATACCAAAGGGTAGTGAATTCCTTCATTTCATAATTCAGGGTAGAAATGCAAAGTAGACACTTACTTTTGACGGTGGACACTTATTTTGGGATGGACGGAGTATAATTTTTCCTTAAATTTTGGGAGGTGCTTGGGGTTAAATTTCATCAGTGCGATGATCAGCAAGATCTGATGTAGAAATGAACATATTTTGCAGCAACATCTACCTCAAACTTCAACAGTCCATCTAAAGAAGCTAAAGATCAAAGTAACACTGAGGTATTTGTTTAAATGTTTCCTGTTTTGAAACTGTTCTGTTTTGTTTGTGGCAACAAATTTTACCTGCATATATTGGTTTACTGGGAGTAGGCTAGTTGAGTTGATTGGAGATTTTAGGTTTACGTTGGGCATGTGTTGTGTGTGTAAATGATGTCATTAGGGTGTTCGTCCATGGTGCATAACTGATTTCCATTGCGACTTTTTGGTTCTGCCAGAATCTTCAGTTTTTTGTATACGTGGATTTCCCTAATCGTTTTTTTCTTCAATGCAGATATCTGGAGCGACTTTAAGTTGTAATCATCATGATGTCTCTAATGACAAAAGGAAGGGTTTTGAGAATACAAACTCGAGAAACGCTGAATTCCCAAGTTTTGATCTTGGGATTGACTAGGGGCCGTATGATGTTGCCAGTACCTTGTCATCACAGATATCTCACCAAAACACTCCATCCCAGAAAAGAAAAAATGAAGATAGAAAAAGTTCGTTAGTTTTGGTTAGCAAAACATTAATGGAAATGAAATGTCTTAAAGTCTTACTCTTTTGAGGATCTTATAAGCCTTATTCTTCCTTGGCATTTTGCTGATCATGATGGAAAGAGATTAATACAAAAAGATTTACAACTAGCCTAAAAGATAGTAATTGCTTTATTAGATGGCTTACTGCGTACAAAGTAAACACTTGTAGCTATGTGGCCTTAACCTCTGCAATTTCTAGGATATTGATAAGCATTCAATAACAGCGATGTGCTTTACATGATAATATATAAAAAATATTTTCTACTTCAAGAAAAAACCTTGCAGAGCAATCTCTTAGCCAAAGGGATTCGAACTTGCAACCTGTAATGTGACATGCAATGACATTACCAGTAGGCTGCAACCACTTTTCTCTGGCTATCTGTACTGTCTGAAATTATTCTCTGACTTCTTCATGCTAAGCAAAGCTTTGAAAAGGTTTTTGGTTTTCTTAGAGTAGGCTTCTATATCTTTTGTGCTCTCTCTTTGTGGATACAAGGAATGAGATCTCCAAGCCTCTGATGGTTGCTGTAATTAGACAGGAAGGTAAAAAGAAGTGTTAGACACAGTATAAGGAGGTTCACTCCAACTCGTGCACCATATGGCTGTATTTTTGTTTGTTTGGAGTGACTTTCCTCCTTTCTCACTAAATGAAAACCGTTTTATAGTATGGCAAACATGTCTAAATGTTCTAATAGACTGTTTTTTAGGTCTTAAGTTCTAGGTTAATAAAAATTGTGTGCCATATGTAAAGATGTTACAGTAAGTTTATAGGATGCTTTTGAGCGTCCCAACAAGTTTTTTAGGACACTTTGAAATAAAGTGTCATATTAGTCTTATTGTATGACATTTGAAAAAGTGTTTGTCATGCACCCATCTAGAGGCTCAAGCCCATTCTTAAGTAATATTCTAGAATAGTCAAGAAGGATTATTTTGGGTACTTAGAATAAAAAGTTAGTTTAAATAAGGGGGATGCAGGAGGTGGGAATCATGCAGAAATTAGTGGGTTATATATGGGAGAGTTCTAGCTTATCGAATGCTAGTTTGTTCTTCGTTTTCCTTGTTAATTGAAGCATGTGACTGTGTCCTTATCACTTGGTTTCCATTTCAAATTGTTCTCGATTCGGTTTATAACAGTGTCCTATAAAAATAAGGTGTTCTATAAAAAGATGTGTTGTTAGACGCTTCTCAAAGGTGTCGTAAACACTTGTTAGGAACCCCAAAAGCATCCTGTCAACTTATTGTAACACATTTACATAAGACGCACAATTGTTTGATGCTATAAACTAAGTCTTATAAAGCAGTCTAGGACATTTAGATATATTTGACATCCTATAAAGCTGATTTTGTTATAGTGTCTATTATAGCAAAAAAGAACATGAAAAGACTTTTGCATACTTGCTGTCTGCTACTGGATGAGTTTGGACTGATGGATCGATGAATAAAAGATGGAGAAAGCTTGATGGGAAAGCTTGGACAAGTAGGTTGATTAGCAGCAGACTCTGAGCGCTTAACCGGGAAGCGAAGCGGTGAAATTGATCTTGATCGCTTTTCTGGTTTCCAGGTAAACATAATTAGTACATAAGGGGCAGGTTCATTTGAGAACCGTAAATATTTTGAGATGTGAGAACCAACTATTCATTATTATTCATGATGAATCGTGATAGATATTCTTTATTCATCACGATATTAATGATGAACAATATTCAAGAATATTTAGGTATATTCATCGTGAATAATCCATTAATAGATGGTTTTGACGGTTCTCAAAATATATACAGTTCCTAAATGAAGTTCCCCTAGTACATATAGTCGTAAAATGTGGAAAAGATTGTCAACTGGAAAGAACTTCATTTCTGCTAACCTACTCCCTTTCGTGATGCAGATTTTGTAAAGGAAAAGGTAATCAGACCCGATGGCAACTCAGTGGAAGCTTGTCCAGAATACCCATTTCTGCACAAACATCTTATACAATGAACTTGTTTTGGTCGAACTTCAACAAAGGTAACGTAAAGAATACATAAACATGATTTAGTAATATCTGTTACCTTAAACCTGAGGACCGGCCCTTTACTTGTTTTGCCTTAACATCTTCAGATATGCAACCCTCTGTAGCAATAATTGATTTTTTCTGCTTAATACTTGAACACATAATTGCATGATGACCGGCACTTTACTTGTAAGTTTGATCAGACCCCCCATGCCGGGTTATCTATACCTCTTAAGTATATAGACACTTAGAGGCGGATTCACAAAATAACTACCGTAATATAAAATAATATAAAATTAGTTATACTTACAATACTAATTAGGCGAACTAGGTTGGGCCGGCTAATTCATTGATGGGTTGTGGGCTAGGCTTGGAGAGCTGCTTACTTGAAGCAAAAGAAGTAAAAGACATTGCAAAATCTTTCACCTGATGACCTTTTCTTTCTTTAAAAACACTCTTACCCGTTTGGTTTGTAGGATTGGAATGGATTTGGAAGGATTTGTAATTGAATTCCAATCCAATCCCATTTTTATTTTTAAGGGTTTCATGGATTTCATTAAAATCCCACAAACATAGTATTTTGAAATCCCATGGAGGTGGTTGGTATTTCTTGGGATTTCAGGATTTTTATATAATAATGTTTTAAAATATGTTAAGAAATATGTTTTGTAATAATCAATTAATAAAGAGGTAATTTAATTATTTTTATAATTTGTTTTTTATAAATTATTTATAGTAATGAAATTCAATTCCATTCAAATCCTACAAACGAAACACACCAAATATTCCAAATCCTTCTAAATCCAAATCCCTCCAATTCCATATCCTTCCACGGAATCCAATCCCCCCAAAGCATTCCATCAAACCAAACGCCCCCTTAGCTTGGATTGCCCTACACCTTTATTTTGTTTCATATAACCAAAACGGTGGCACATATATAATTAAACGGGGGCATCTTTAAGTGTCGTGAGCTTATTTCCACTACTTTGGGACAATGAAGTGGTAGCACAGCCACCGTATGCCCTAAGCTAGGTCCACCTGGGGGGTATAACAGGACAGGTATGTGTATATCCGCCCCCGTCTCCAGGTGAGGTATGCTGTGCTGATTTGGTTTTAGACACTGCTGGAAATCCTAAGGAATGCTGTCCATGCAGACCAGAAGTCACTTCCTATTCTATAGGGTATTTTTACACTAAAAACGTCTTCACGATCCATATAATCTATAAAAAACAAAGTGAAAAGGACCACTAGATCCATGAGCAAGCTAGAGCAGTTTTAGAATATTATAAATAGCAGAGAAAAACATAAATGACCTGGGAGAAGATACTTCTTACGGTACTTGGGTGTCTCCATCATCAGCGATTGGTGTATTAGCCCACCGTGGTCAGCATATGCTTGACATGTTCGTAAGCTCTGTAATAATCTCCAAGAAAATCACACAAAATAATGAGTGGAAGATCAACATAGAAGTTTCTTCCTAGTAATATACTCTTTCCTTCCCAAAATAAATGTCCGCAATATAAGATGCACATTTTTAACCGAACAAAATGACAAAATTACCCTTAATAATAGAGAGAGTAATGAATTTCTCCATCTTATGATTGATGGTATCATAGGAAAGTAGGCACTTGCATTTAAAAGTGAACACTTATTTTGGGGCGGAGGGAGCTTATAACTATTTTGTGCAGTACAGAAGAATCAACCTAATAATCACCTGCTCAAAGCGTAACACTCGAAGCTTTGTTCTAGAAGTTTCATTGACATATTCATATAAGAACTTGTTAACTTTATCCGTCACAGAGCCCAAATGGTCGACGGTTTTAATGAGAGATTTGGAGATATAGTCCTTTAAGCTTTCTAACAATCTATGCATGTTAAGAAATAGAGAAAGCGGCCAATCAAGTAGAAAACATAATGAAAGTTAAGAGGAGATCACAATGAAGCAAATGCATCACTTACATTTGTTTTTGATCATTCTTGTAATACGAATCTTCAAAATGCTCGGCAGCCAAGTACAACTGTTCTTTTACATTTCTCAAGTCCTATAAAGATTTAAAGGAGCCGTTTACCAATACACATTGGGTAAGAGTATAATTCTGACTAACTAAGAGTCCCTCCTTTAGCTTATCAGGTTAGCATCATGGACCGGTAGAAGGGGTTTGGTAAACAACAGTTCTCTGACTGGGTAAATGCCTCTTACCCGATAAGAGGACACAAGTAGTAAACAACCCCTAAGCTCCAACTTGTTAGCAACTTTATGAGCTTAATGCAACTCACAACTTATTTGGTTATTTATACATGTCTATTTAGTAGTCGCTTAATAATATAGAAGGTGGCTTATTCAATAAGCTTTTAGGGAGGAGCTTTATGTAGAAAACCAAGTTTTTTTTCAAACCTGCCCCTCCCAATTAAAAAACACACTCATTCCATCAATTGAGAAAACCCTCCCAAACAAAAATCTTCTCAATCTAAACATACACATTAAACCAAATAGACGACTTTATCAATACAGGACTTATGGAAAACCAACCAAACATCCCCGTAGTCTTTGATGTGTGCATGTATTGATAGAGAAGTAAAAGTATCGAATACAACCATTGTACCATATACGGATATACCACATCATCTCGCTAGTCTCATACAACAGAGCAATCAAACTTTGTTGTAAATGACAACCTGACACTCTTTTCATCATATATGTATAAGAAAGAGTTTATCATGTCATCCCGACAAATTTGATTGTTTTGTTGTACCATAATACCAAATATGACATGTAAAAGGTTGTATTCAATATTTTAGCATGTGAGAGAGACCTTGAGACCATCGGCAAAGAGCAAGCTGTGCCGCAAGAGAAATTCATTATAGTTGGAAGGTGAACGAAGATCGTTTACGTCAGATGATATATTCTTACTCTCCATTAGGAAGAAAACCCAAGTTCCCTTCACCTGCATAAACACTAAGAATCAAATAAACCCAATATATCTCATTAAGGTCTGATGACTGAATTATACTCTCAGGACATCTAAACATAAATCCCAACTTAAATCGAGGGTGGACCTATGAAGGCTCGGACAGAGTCCCGTGTGTTTGCTCAACTGATTTTTGCAGGTAGAATTCCTTTTGGAGTATGAAAGGTGTACACGCAGCCCTGACTTCTACCTTCAGGACATCTAAACATAAATCCCAACATAAATCAGGGGTGGACCAATGAAGGCCCCTGCAGAGTCCCCCCGATTTTTGCAAGTAGAATTCCTTTTGGGATATGAAAGGTGTACACGTTAAACTTTGAGGAGTGCTCCGGGATATAAGAAAATACAAAGGATATCTACCAAAAAACTAAAGAAGTCTCGAAATCAACAAAAAACACTAAAAATTCCCTCAAAATCAACCAAGAAACTTCAAAAGTCCTTTGAAACAGTGAAATTTGGCTAAAAAGATATTGGACGACTTTGCTGGTCTTTGATCCAACTGGATTAATATGTACCCGCTCGACTAAAATGCTGGGTCTACCGAGCCCATGGTAGTTGTCACTAATAAGAGAGAGGGAAAGAACCAACCTTGTGGCTAAAACTTCAAAGGTGTAGTTCCATTAAAAATCTGATCTCAAATAGAGACCACTTGTGGGGCTGAATACAAGTATGGGTTTATACCAGCAAGAAGTTGATTAGGAGAGAAGGTTTGTTGGGGTTGTGAAGATATCTGAAGGGTTAGTTTTGGAGGCAAATTAACCACTCCTCTTTCTGATGAATCACCTCATAACTTATAGGTTTATAAACCATTTTTTTCTCAATTAAGGACTGCTCATGGTTTATAAATAGATCTTACATTTTAATTTACGTTATATATTATAATTAATGTCTACATTAAAAACAAATTAATTTGTTTTATATAACTAATTAAAGTTGATTATTTATAATTCATAAAAAACTTAGATTAAATTACCAACAATTAATATGGTATAAAATAAAACAAATAATAACAAATTTTAGGTAAAATAAAATCAATTATTATTATATATGCTGAAAAATATAGAAAACACATTTATATTAAAAAACAAAAAGAGAAAATAAATTTAAGTTTTATAATTTTATTGGACCTAGTTAAACTGGTTCCAAATTATGAATATCTTACTCTTCTTCCTTGGTAGAAGAAAGGCACCCAATGCTTGCCTTTTTCGTGGACCGGTTTATGCATATCTTTAATAGCTATGTTATATTCAATTTTAATAGTTATTAAGATATCTTATAAATTATATATGCTATTAAATTTTTTATGAAAATTTATAACAACATTCAATCCCATTGGTAGAAACTATTAAATTAATCTAGTATAGTTTTTGAAGCAAAACACTCTAAAATCTTCAAAATCTCTATTTTAATATAGCTGTTGAAGATGCTCTAAGAACATGTAACTCCTTAACTTTGTGGCCGCTCTTATTAGATAACCTCAATTTAGGCTTGTATTTTATAAATAACTCCATATAGGTTTCATGCAAGTTTGGTCATCTACTAAACAAATAGGCTCAGTCTATCACATTCGAAAGTGAAGTGTAGAGGGGTAGTTTGGACATCAACCAAACAAACAAACCCTGTTTATCACATCCAAAAGTGAAGTTTAGAAGAATTAGAATCATATAGATGTTACTTATGTCTTAAGTGATAGAGAAATTGTGTACAAGAAGACTTGTGACTTGTGAAAAAGACTAGTCAATGAAATTAAAATTTGAAAGCATAACTATATAAAAGATGTTGTAGAAGATTATAAAAGAAAGCGAATACCCTACCTATATCATATCACACACTAACAATTTGTTCATGATTAGTGTTTAGAATGGTAAATTTATGGTATTATTGCTTCCTTAGGAAGCTAGGGTTCAAATGATGATGAGGTAAAAGAAGGTAAAACCCTTTTCTATAGCATTAATGACGATAAATAGAGCACCAATGATGCGGTAACTTGTACATTGTGCCATGAAGGTTGTACCTCGCACCCGAGTTTATCATCTGGAAAAAAAACGTAGCATAAACAAGACTCCTTTCTAGATATCCGGGCTAAATTACATGCTTCAACTAATTCCCTGACCGACCACGAATGATTATAGTCATCGCAGATAAACTTTCATGATCACAAAAGCTTTAACAATGGCTGGATTTAAACCTGAGAAGATGAGAATTTCAATCAGCACACCACAACCAGAGTCTTGTTAACAAGTCGTTTCAAAAAAATCACTTTCAACTAACAAGATCTCAATTCATGTTATTGTCTCTAATTTTTATGTTCCACTGACGTCATATTCCAATAATTTTGCCTAGCCACTACCTAAAATTAATGGCTTAATGCTTCTTTTACTTGCACCTAAATCTAAAGGAAATCATGTCTTGATCCTATATCTAGCTTTTTGGGACCTACCCCATTAAGTAATTAGTTCACATGTTTATTCTATTCTAAGCAACTATTATGAATTTGTTGTTTGTTATAGATTTGTCCCAAAAATAGTATTACTTTCATATGTATTTGTCTTTTAAGTCATATGGGTAGTGGTAGACTCATGATTTTTGTTGAGCGGATGTATCTTTTAAGGTAAATCAAAGACCTACAAAGTTGTCTGACGTGTTTTTAGCTGAATTCCAGCATTTCGTGGGATTTTTAAAGTTTTTTGGTTGATTTCGAGGGATTTTTAAGTTGATTGGGTCGATTCTCAGGGACTTTTTCTATTTTTTTGGTTGATTTCGAGGTATTCTTTTTGGTTTTTTGGTTGATGTTTCTTATTCTAATATCTCGGAACACCCCTTAAAGTTAGCGGATGCACCTTTCATACCTAAAAGAATCTTACTTGCAAAAATAGATTGAACGAGTGCACGAGAGTCTGCTTAGATATACATAAGTCCACCTTAAATCTGGGGTGAAAATGATCTCGAGAACATCTAAATATGTTTGTTCTCTATTTCTTAAAGAACCTATTTTTTGTATATTTTTTGTCGTATAATTGTCAACTCATCAAATTAAGAACCTCTATAAATAGGGAGTGAGTTACAAAGAACCTTTTTTTGGGGTCCTATATATATTTTTCACCGTTAATGTTTATTATATCTTTTAAAAACAGATTAAAAAACTAATAAAATAATATTTAGACAAAATTCAAGGTAATAATCAAGGTTCTTGTCCAAGAACTGAAAAATATGAGTGACTTGCAAGAATTCTCTGCGATGATAGTGACTATAAGAACTACATTTTTTGTTTATAAAAACCTACCGTTATGGATGTGAGTTTGAGATAATATCCGTGAGTTTGAGATAATGCAAAAGCATTGGGTCTCTTTGTTTATTTGCTTGATGATTTTAATGGTTTATTTATTCGGTTATTATGTTATTTTTGTTTTTCTTTTGACTTTTAAGCAAAAGTTAGAAATTGTTGAATCGGATATACAATGTATGCGATGTGGGCCTACCATAATAAAGTGGTTTTCTTAGATCGGATTCTTTCATGCACTGATTTGGCTTTCAAATTCAACTTCTATCATACCAAGGGTTATGTAATCGTAAAAAAAAAAAAATCACATTCTTGGGTAGAATGGTGTTGCAGTCCAGGTGGTTAACCCATGTCTATTGGGGCAAATTGTGCCTCCATTAGGGTCTTTTTCGTTGTCTTTTGTTTTCTAACAGTCGTCTTTTTTATATCCAATGTTTCTTTTGTTTTCGTTTTTGCTCATTTTGCATAAAGGTTTTTTTTTCGTGGCGGAACATGAACGATTGTGTCTTAAAAGGAGTGGTTTTAGGTGAAGATTTGTTAGGGTAGATTCAAACTCGCTTGTTCAATTGGATCTCGTCAAGATACAAAGATTTCTGAAAGCTATCGGTTTCTTGGAAAGGGTTTCGGTAATGTAGTTGCAACTTGATTTTTAGCCTCATTTGTCTTTGTTGTTTTGGTGGCCATCCTTGGCTGGCTTTCGGCTCTTTCTCCAATTTCTCTTGGGGTCCTGGGTGGTCCTGTTTCTTGCAGGCTGCCTTTGGCTACTCCAGTTTTTTACAATGACATTTGTTTTTCAAAAAAGAAAAGAAACCAATTGGGTTGTTTGTTTACCTTTTAATAATTTTATTAATAGACAACATCTGAATCGTTAAAAAGTGAATTTTGTTTGGCCAAAAAAATTCTAAAATCATCTGGATGATTTTGTATCCTGCGTCTCCCTTAACCATTCAGCGCGTTAATTCTATTGTAAAAAATTATAGAACAATTATATTTCATTTAACATTATATCATGAAAGTCTCTTAATCATTCTGCACCAAATCATTTAGCAACTGTCAAACAGTCCCAAATGTTTCTTTTAAGACATTCTCTTGTAATGCCTCTAGTTTTCTTGTTCTTAGTAAATTTACAAGAAAATAAAATTATTTTATATCTTATTTTGTATAGATCTTACTTTTAATAAAAGAGAAAAAAAGACCTTTTAATTTTGTTGGTATATTTTTAGGGGGTGTTTGTGATTGTTTATAAAAATAACTTATTGATTTATTCTGGTGTGACATCGGTAATAAGCACTTTCGAGTGTTTGGATAAACAACTTATACCAGTGTCAAACCGGTAATAAGAAGTTTTTGAAGAAGTTAAACCATTTTAACTTATTATAAATTGATAAGGACTTTTGTAAAAAAAATATAAGTTGTTTCAATAAGCAATCCCAAACATCCCCTTAGATCGAGTGTTTTGTGGAAGCAACTTGCATCGGATCATCAATAGTTGATAGTGACTATTCCGTCATGTTTTTGTTGTATTCAAGTTTTATAATTTTCAATAAAACCTATAAAAACATGATATAAAGTTATAAAAGTAAAAGGTTATTTTTGGGTTTTCAATAACAAAAAAGTATACATAAAGTTAATGAAAGAAAATATAAATATAAATCCATATTCTTTTAGCAAGAAATTAAAGATGTTTAGTTCAGAAAATAAAAATGATAGAGAATGAAAGTGAAAGAATTTCTATTCTTTAAGTTTAATCCGAAATGAAAATTTGGGTTTATGGAGGAATAAACTTATTATATTATATAAAAACAAACAACTTTTTTTTATTTTTCATTCTCATTAATTACTGTTTAATACCTCGAACCAATCACTCCCTAAAGTTTTTTGTTTTCGATTTTATATAATGTTATATTATTAGATCAATTACTTATTTCGTTTTAAAATAAGGGGCCGTTTACTAAACACTTACTTGGTAAGTGTTTAACGCATAAATTTTCCTCATTGGATGAACATAAAAAGGGCTAAGAATCTTACCGGGTAAGAGCAATGAGAATGATGTAGAATCTTATCCGGTAAGTGAGGATGACGACTCTTATCCAGATAAGCATTTACCCACTAAATTGTTGTATTCGATATGTTTTGATATACTAAAATTTTACGTATCAAAATAAATTATAGTGTGACTCTTATTGGTAAACTTTACCGAGTAAACATTTGGGTAAACGGCCCCTAAATGTCTATAATATAAATGTAATTTAAAATGTATATAATTATTTTATATTTTAATTAATAAAATTTTTGTAGTAATTAATTTATCAGTCTTATAATTAAATAATAGAAAGTGGAATGGAATAAAAAAAAGGTAGCAATAATTGGTTAAGAGTAAATTATGTTTTTCATTCATGAGATTTGTTGAAAATTGTTATTTTTGTCGTCTTGTTTTTAAAAATAATGTTTTTTTGTCGTTGTGATTTACTTTTATTGTTGTTTTTTTGATTAACCTGGATATTTAACCCGTTATGCGAGCCGACTAATCTAGGACGACTATCTGTTTTGTAGATATCTCGGAGTCACCGCATTTGAATCTTCGTGGTCACAAGTGGATTTTTATTTCTCCTTAGATTTGAACCTGGGACCTCTGGTACTTTTGACCTTTGAAGCCATGCTCAAACCAATCTGACACCATCCTTGTGGTTATTTTATTGTTGTTTTTATCCATATGGATTTGTAATTCGTTGTTGTTTTTATATTTTATACTTAATGATAAACTACTGACTATGTTAACCTTAATGATGAAAACATCAATAAATTACAATCCATATGAACAAAAACTGTAATTTTAAAAATATACGAATGTAAATCATAATTTTTAATAAGACTTGAGATCATATGAAACCAGTCTGTTTTCGTGAGATCCGTGAGACCACTTTCTTACATCTGAAACTTTATATCAAGAACGCTATTGAATATCAATTATATTATTAAAATATTTTATAAATTCATAATTTTAATACATTTTAAATAAAAATAACAATATATTTAACTTCATTAATAGACACAATTAAAAATTACTTCAATACTTATGAGATTTCAATATTTAAGGGCCGTTTATCAAATGTTTATTCAGGTAAGCGTTTACCAAGTGATATTCCTTTACCGGATTAACACGACAAGGGCCAAAAATCTTACTTGTTAGACCGAAAACAAGGATTGCGAGTCTTACCCGGTAAGTGATGACGATGAATCTTACCACGGTTAGTGTTTATCGGGTAAATTGTTACATACAATGTCGTTTTGGTAGACGAAAATTTTACCCAGTAAGTAAGCAATAGAGTTGAATTTTACCGTTAAGCGCTTACTGGGTAAATATTTAAGTAAATGGCCCCTATAGATTCTTGATATTATGTTTTACTTTATAGTTTAAAATGAAAAATTAATAAAATATTCATGAATTTTTTTAAAAAACAACAAATGATTTCTTTTCAAAATGTTGAAGAGACAAGAAAGACTGAGAATGCATACATCTAGTGCTTCGATTATCGAGAATCCTTGTAAAAAAGCTCAAAGTGAAATCGATGATATTGATCGTAATACACTAGAATGAGATCATGGTTTGTGTTGTCATCTTTATCGTTATAGGATTCAAAACAAAGTATGTTACATTTTCATGCAGTTTTCCTTAATAATGAAGTCTTTAAATTTACAGTATAAGAAAAGCTCCACCGCAGAGTACGAATGCCAAACAGATTGAACTAATGATGGTCTTAATCAACATCCTTCCTTTATCGTTCCTTAGCACCATGGCTTCATAAATTGGCCAACTATTCAATACCGCCAAAACTAGCTATAATCAGTTGCACAAACAACTCTTGTGTTCTGCCATTGCTCAAAATTTGTATTATTCCTTTTACGAATGCGAATAAATTGACAATCGATGCGGTTGTGAAGGGTACGAACATAACGGAGTGGACCCCAAACTCAACCCTGATCATATTGTTTTCTTTGTTCATCATTTTGCACTTTACTCGTCACATTGAACCGTTATTAGCCCAAACATAACGAAGTCATTTTGTACGAACATAACGGAGTGGATCCCAAACTCAATTGTTTGATCGTGCACTCCACAAGTCCAAACAAGTATAGTGAGAGTCCCCTTATTAGCCATATCCTTTGATCGTTCCACCATTTTTTAAAAGTGGAACCAAATAAGATGAAGTCATAACAATCTTGTATGTATGCTCCAAGGACCACAAAAACATATAGTAAGAACCATGGATTCGTCACCTGTAGCCAATAAAAGTAAGATGGAGTGGTTAAGGCTTAGAGGGATATAATATAAACCTCATCTTTCCTGGGTTCGAATCCAGGTGTTGTCAAAGCCTTTGCTGCCATGGAGGTTCACCTGCGATGACTCTAGGCCATTCATGATTGCCCGACGATTAGTTGGTGCGTGTAAGTTGGCCTAGATACCCAGTGTTGCCCATAAATGTATAATCCATTCAAAAGAAAATTACCATACTGTTTTTTAACTGAAAAAGAAAAATACCTTCGAGAAGATGTATAATCCATTCAAAAGGGTAATTTGAGGGATGAACGAGTATAATGTTATGGGAATGGATAAGATGGGCCAAAACGCATGGTGTGCGTAACATAAGCCCATGACTGGACCCATGAATCGTGACCCTTAAACGATTGGAATGTATTTCAACAAGACAACCTCGAGAAGTACAATACCCCATCTTCTTGTTTGATAGACTGCATCGATGAAGAAGATTGGAACATCGCCCAAAAAAGCTGGCCTACTCGGGTGGCATAAGATTTACTTCCATCCTTCACAATGCAATTGATATCCTGTGAAAAAGTCTTCCACAAGTGACCCGTATTGAAATCCCAACTAAGCTTGTAAAAAAATAAATCATTGTCGGTATTAGTATCAATATCAATATCAGTATCAGGTGTGGGATATGTCTTACTTGGACTCCCCACTTGGTGTTGTTTTCGTAGTTGCATCTTGCCACATGGTGGGCCATAATTGGTTGTGCTGTAACAGGCGTCTCCACTATATGGTCTGCTTGCAATTCTTGTATTTCTGGTGACACCATCGACTTCTGGCCACCAAAGAAAGGTCGACAGAGGAAGAAACATCCACTTCCAACATAAGATGGGCCTTGCTAACCATCCATCCCGACCGAATTCACTACATATAAACGCAAGAACTCACCTGCATAAATCTCATATTTGTTGATTCCGTGAAATCTTTGGGGGAATTGAACATATCCCAATTCAGGTCTAACCAACGGATCATAAAACATGACACAACAATCTCTTTGGTGTTTGAGGATCGTTCAAGTACATATCACAATCTTGAGTAAGAACTATAGGAGCGTTGGTCATAACTCCCGATACTCAAAGCTTCAAAAACACTTCATTTTCAGCTCGAATAAACAAAACCAAGCTATTAGACCACATATTATACGTAAAATTAAGTACAAATCATTAACGTGATAAACGAAGCAACAAAATATAAACCAAATTTTATATTTAAAAAAGTTCGAAAAGATTTAGTTTCAAAGTCATAATCAAACAGTATATATAAAGTATTTTATTTGTATAATTGGGGTCCGATTCAAATAAGAATGATGGATATCGTGAGAACACATGAAACAAATATTTATATGTGAATCACTGAAAAAATCTATTCAAAGATTCATATGTGAACGAACGTTACAAATTATTCATACAGATTCATATATACATCTTTAAATAATTTTTTTTAATGATTCACGTATGATATTTTTTTAACCTTCAATTGGGAGCACCAACTTTGAAATGGTATGGAGAGTTATTGTCTTTTCTTCTGGATACATACACCAAATTTGGAATCAAATTTCCCATTTTGTCCTTTTCCTTGAGACTCTCTATCAATAGACTAAATCCACATGATTCATGGGTTTTTGACAAAAATAACCCCCTTAAATAACAAAATTACATTTTTAACCCTAACAATTAAAAATCTAACAAACTAACCATTTGTTACTCCTTTAACATCGTGCGGTGCGTACAAGGGGCTAAATGAAAAAAAAGCTGAAATAAGGATAGAGACTGAAGTACAAAAAAAAGTTCTTTGACCTGATGTGACCGGCTGCTGCTAGGTTGACCATGGACCGTGATCCCCCTATGCAACGGCCGGTGCGCAGTGTGTAAGGGCCCCACCGGCTCGAGTTTTTTTTTTGTTAAATAATATAACAAATATTTAATTTTTTATATTTTATATATGCTTTATATGATAAACGTGTCATTAATCTACATGATATTGGATTGGTTTTAAATATGACTTCTTTTCATATTTTTACTTTCACGTTATTAATAGTTGCATAATTTATTGGTTACCAGTCAAAATGAATAAGAAATAGAAAGAAGTTAACGCTTGTTACAATTACTGATCGAAGAAATCATTGTCACAGTAAATAAAAGAACACAGACATATCTTTTTCGAAAGTAGTGTAAGGCGACGTGGATGTACCAATTATGCACAACCACACAGTCGTACAACGGGCAAAGCCTTGCCTCCCTAACAATGTGTCCTCGAATTTGAGTAAGTGGCTACAACGGTTTTCTGCATATATATAATATATATGCAGACCTTTTTTTTTTTTAGAATTCTCTAAATTGTGAGATCTTTGAGAATTAATGCATCATGTGGTATTTCATATGCCTTTTTTTCCATCTACGACTAGAATTTATATAGTGATTGACATATTTGTTTCATAATGTGTTTGTTCCACATGTACTTGATTCACAATGTAAACCTTTTTGGCATGTTTTGTGAAACAAAAAGTACACGTACCAAAATTTCTAAGAACACTATGTCAACCGACAAGAAACATATGATATGCATCAATCATTAACTATCATCTATTCAATGCTTGAGATATCGTATCTCAGATATTAAAATGAAGGTTTTAAAAGTACGTTAACCAAAATAGGAATAAAAACAAAGTATGTCATATTTTTATACAGTTTGTCCTAATAGAACAGTTTTGAAAGCTATAGTATAAGCGAAGCTCCACTGCAGAGAACGAATGCCAAACAAACTGAACTAATGATGGTCTTAATCGGCATCCTTCCTTTATCACTCCTTACCACCATGGCTTCATAAATTGGCCAACTATTTAATACCCCAAAACTAGCCATAACGAGTTGCATAAACAACTCTTGTGTGTTCCCATTGCTCGAAATTCGTATTAATCCTGATATGAATGCAAATAGATTAACAATGGATGCGGTTGTGAATGGTACGAACATCTCCGAATGGACCCCAAACTCAATAAGACCCTGATCATATCGTTTGCTTTGCTCATCATCTTGCACTTTACTCGTCACATTGAACCCTTGTGTAGGTATACCTAATTGTTTGATCGTGAAATCCATAAGTCCAAACAAGTACGACGAGAGTCCCCTTATTAGCCATATCCTTTGATCGTTCCACCATCTTTTAAAAGTGGAACCGAATAAGATGAAGTCATAACAATCTTGCACGTATGCTCCAAAGACCAGGAAAACGTATAGCAAGAACCATGGATCTGTCACCTATAGTCAACAAAAGTCAAATGAGCTCGTTAAGTCTCGAAGGATATAGTAAAAATATCTATCTTCCCTAGGTTAAAATCCAAGTACTGTCAAAACCCTTGCAGCAATGGAGGTTCACATGCGACCTAGGTACCAAAAAAATGTTTAGATGGACTCCAACTCGATATTGTAATAAAATTAAATTGGAAAAATACCTTTGGGAAAATGTATAATCCATTCAAAAGGGCAATTTGAGGGATAAAGGAGTATAGTGTGATGGGAATGGATAAGATGGCCCAAAACGCATAGTGTGCATAACAAAAGCCCATAATCGGGCCCATGGATCGTGACCCGTAGATAACTGGAACGTATTTCGACAACCCAACCTCAAGAAGTCCAATAGCCCATCTTCTTGTTTGACTGATCGCATCGATGAGGGAGATTGGAATATCGCCCAAAAAGGCTGGTCTACTTGGGTGGCAAAAGACAGACTCCCATCCTTCACATTGCAATCGGTACCCGGTGAAATAGTCTTCCACAAGCGACCCGTATTGAAATCCCAACTACATTTAGAAAAACACCAAATCAATATAAATATCAGTATCGGTATCAATATCAATATCAGGTGTAGGATGTGCCTTACTTGAGATCCCCATTTGGTATTGTTTTCATAGTTGCATCCTGCTACATAGTGGGCCAGTTCCATAATCGGTTGCATTGTAAAAGACGTCTCCACCACATGGTCAGGTCGCAATTCTTGTATTTCTGGTGACACCTTCGACGTAGGGCCACCAAAGAAAGCTCGACGAAGGAAGAAACATCCACTTCCGACATAAGAAGGGCCTTGCAAACCATCCGTCCCGACTGGATTCGCTACAAATAAACGTAAAAACTCACCTCCATAAATGTCATCTTTGTTGAGCCCATGATATCGTTGGGGGAACTGAACGTATCCCAATTCAGGTCGTACCAACGGATCACAAATATAACACAACGCCCTCTTTGGCGTTTGAGGGTCATTTGAGTACATATCACAATCTTGTGTAAGAACTATAGGAGCGTTGGTCATAACTCCCGATACTCGAAGCTTCAACAACAAATCATTTTTAGTTCGAATAACAAAACCAAAGTAAAATCAGTAGTAACAAAATTTTACAATTTTCAAAATCACAATCAAATAACATATTTTAAGTATTTTATATAATTGGAGTCAATTAAATAATTAGTTTAAATATTGTGAAAATCATATATATATATATATATATATATATATATATATATATATATATAT